TGTCAGGCAGGAGAGAGCTCAGGCCGGTTGTCTTCTGCCTGTCCTGAGAGACACTGTGGGCACCCAAGAGTTTTGAGCAGGGGTGTGTGATCAGGGTGATAAAATCCAAAAATTTCAGATAAGAGGATGACAGTCAGAGGGGGCCCCCTTCCTATGTGGTCTGAAGTGTGAACCTGTTAACCCTCCACAAAGTTTTGTCCCAGCTCCCACCTTTTCTAAGAGTCTGTGGCTTCTCCTTAAGGGTAGGACTTAGACCAGTGATGGTGAACCTATGACACGTGTGTCAGAGGTGACACGCGAACTCATTTTTTTGGTTGATTTTTCTTTGTTAAATGGCATTTAAATATATAAAATAAATATCAAAAATATAAATCTTTGTTTTATTATGGTTGCAAATATCAAAAAATTTCTATATGTGACACGGCACCAGAGTTAAGGTTTTTCAAAATGCTGACAGGCCGAGCTCAAAAGGTTCGCCATCACTGATTTAGACCTTATTCCTGTGGGAACCCAGGGTCTGGCACCTCCAGGGCACCCAGGAACATGGGGACTGGATGTTGAGAGATCTGTCAGTGGGTGGGTTCTCACCCTGGAGTTTATGGAAGGACTTTTACCAAGATGGAAAGCCCTTGTTGTATCACATCCAAGAGGGTCTTCTGGAGGCTGTTGGATCACAGCTCCAGGATCAGGCAGCTGAAAGGAAATATCAGGTGGGTGGGTGTACGGTACAGGTAGCTACGCAAATAAAAGCATAGAACACCAACATTTAAATTTCTTGCTAAAGGAATAAGAAATACTTAAATTGCCTCAAGACAACCATTTTGATAATATTTCCCACATCTTTGCTTTGTTTTATGAAGTTGTGATCAAATTTGTGTGCTGCTTTCCCTGCCTCACTATTTAAAAAAAAATAATTTATTGATTAACTTGAGAAAGAGAGGAAGGGTGAGAGAGAAACATTGATTTGTTGTTCTACTTATTTATATATTCATTACTTGATTCTTGTATGTGCCCTGACCAGGGATTGAGCTACCTGGCCAGGCCTCCCTGGCACTTTTTTTTAAATCCTCACCTGAGGATATGTTTTTATTGATTTGAGAAAGAGAGGAGAGAGAGAAACCCATATCGATCGTTTGCCTCCCATACTCACCACTACCGCGTCAGCCCGGCAACCTAATTATGTGCCCTGACTGGAAATTAAACCTGAAACCTTATGGTGTATGGGACGATGTTCTAACCAACAGAGCCACCCAGCCAGGGACACCCCGTCCCCCCCACCCCCCCACACACACACTTTTTAAAAGAAAAACTTTTCCCCAAATCACAACTCTTTAGAACCATCAGTTTTTTAAGTTTTATTCTTACTGAGATATCATTTACATGCTATAACATTGAACTTTTAAACTGTATGATTTAGTGATTTTTAGTATAGTCACAGCACTGTGCAACTATCACCATTATCTAATTACAAAACATTTTATCATTCAGAAAGAAACCTCATACCCAGTAGCCATCACTCCCCATTCTTCCTTCCCAAGCCCCTGGCAACCACTACCGTATTTGCCGGCGTATAAGACGACTGGGCGTATAAGACGACCCCCTAACATTTCCACTCAAAATACAGAGTTTGTTATATAC